AGGTGTAGCTCAATTGATAGAATGCCATCCCTGAATGAAAAAGCTGAACAAGACACTTGAGTTCATGCCCTAGTACTGGCAAAAACAAAATTCCTTACAAAGATTTCTGTTTTCTAATAGATAAATATTTATTTACATTTTTATAGAGAGATTTTTCCTAGAGTTGTAAAGTAGCCTAGTGAAAGACAAAGGTTCAGACTCCCTTCCTCCATAGAATCAGATCATTGAGTTGTGGGTGGAGGTGAAGAGGCTCCTGGTCCTGGCCCAGTATTTTCTTGAAAGGATTTACAATAAAGACTATGCACGTTTCCAGGTTCTTGGATTTGTTTTCTTCTTTCCTGGATGAGAGTGACATTCTTTCATTGCAAGTAGGAATTTAGGGGCAAAGACTCACAAAGCTCTTAAGAATCACATTAAATCCTTACAAAATCATTTAAATTTTAAATACTCTTTTCAATTTCAAGCTTTCATAGTCTGCCAGCTTAGATTAGTTCCTAGTTTACCTGACTTTCACTGAGTCATTTCTTCTATGCTGCCAAATTTCGGTAAAATGCAGATTCACAGTCTGGAGGACTGAGAGAGCCTGAGAGAGGCTGAGTCTGCATTTCTAACAAGCTTCTCAGGGATGATCATGCATGTGGTTTTTAAACACCAAAGATTATCCTATATGCAATGTTTCAATGTATACTACATGTGGGGTATTCAATAAACATGGGAAAGAGAGAGAAGAAGGGAGTATGACAAAGTCTGCACCAGAAATGAAGCAAGATAATCATCAAACCACTACTTATTCCTCATAAAGCTAATAACCAGTGATGGTAGTAGTCCTAGAACTAAGTGTGCTTTCCAAAAAAAATCTGTGAATAATTTGATAGCTGGTTAGTGCCTTGTTGCCAAAGACTCTACTACTCTAGGACTGTCTGGCATCACTAAGTATTTCACAGCCAGAGACAATGAGCTCAGGGAATTGCTTGCTTGGTTCCCATAGGAGCATGGGTCCACTCTGTGAGAACACTCTTTTAACTTGAAACTAATATTGTTGTTATCAACTATGATGCTTTCTGACTTTTAATCACTTGTTTGCTCAGGATAATACAATCCATGAAAAGTAAATCTTAGTCAATGTACATATGTGAAAATGGTATCTTGAGGAATGGGCAGGGTTGGGAGAGATGGGAGGAGTGATCGAGATGCATTGCACTCATGAGCTAACATGTTGACTTGAAACCCCTTTGTACAACTACTTAAAGATCATTTTTTAAATTGTATAAATAAAGCAAAATACAACCCACAAAAGGGGATGTGAGACGTCATCAGAAGATTAAACTATGTCTGAGAAGTTTTTCTCTTCTCAAACCCCAAATCTGGAGACAGAGGAAAACCAACAGTCACCCCACAGAGACTCTTCTAGCACAGTATGTAATGATATAAACAGAGCAATAAAGCCCACAGTTCAAACCAGGGTGACAGGAGAAGTTCGTTCATAAAATGTCACTTCAGTTGAATCATGAGGAAGAACGTCAGCTAATCCATGGTTGTGAGGGCCCCTAGGAAAAAAGCACAACCCATGCAAAATCAGGGGCGATGCCATGGCGTTTAACAAGAGGAAGATGACAAAGGAGTGGGGGTGGACTGAAGAAAGGAAAACCAGCAAGCAAGCATTTCCAGTAACCTAGGTGTATGTGGTAAGGTTTCCTAATTGCTTAGGGAAAAATTTGGCATATTTTTGTGTGCCAGACCTGGCACTTGAAATGGAGGCCTGAGTGCTGTCCCTGAGCTTTTTTTTTTTGGCTCCACTACTTGAGCAACAACTCTACTTCCTACTTTTTGGTTGTTAATTGGAGATGAGTCTCAGATTTTTCCTGCCAGGCTGGCTTGGAACCATGTCCCTCAGATCTCAGCTTCCTGAGTAACTAGGATAATACATGAGAGCCATTGGGAGCCTGGCTAAATATTGAGCCATTTTTAATGAACAAATGGTCCATTTTCCCTCCATGATATGACAATTTCCTCAATTCTTCCTGTGGAAAAATTGCATCTGCACACTCTAGTTTCTAATTGTACACATGTCAAGAGTTATGCCTAAGCATGTTCACAGAGAATATTTGGAATTTTTATAAGTGCATCTTTGATGTGATTTTTATGAGCAGTGTTAATTTCCTTCCACATGAGTAGTCTTACTAATGCTGCAATCTAAATCCTATTTAAATTAGTTTATATTGTTTTCCACTTTCTCAGTGATCTTTCCACTGAATACAAAATTGAATTTACAGTTGGGTATTGAAAATGACCGCTCTCAATATGCTTCTTAGTCATCCAGAGGGAGTTACTGGCTTGGTCTTAATTAATATAAATTAAAGTCACTTCTAACACGGCAACAAATATCGACTGGATTTACGAAGCATGGCTTGACTAATGTGTTTTGAATTTAATTTGAATGCCAGTATATCAATCATACATCAGGCCTGCCAGTTTCAAAGAGTTCAGAAATGAAGTTGAGAATCTTCAAAACTCTATTCTTCTCTTAAGCAAATGGAATTTTGCTTACTAGTACTAGATAATGTAGTACAGAAATCTCTTGGCTCCTTATTTTTTCTTAAACAGTGTATTTTCAAGTACTTACCCCTTAAGGATGTTGTTTCCTCTGTCTGAAAACTCTCAGCTCCAACCTGCTGCTTGTAGCTTATGCTTAATATCCGTTCTAGGTCTAGAAGAAAAGAACAGTATGGTTTTCAGGTCATGTGAACAAAGATACATCTTTAAATGTATAGTGTGTAACTTAATGTATCTGTGAAACCTAGTGACCACAGCAACAGAAGGGAAAATGACCTGCGAGCCCAGGAATGAAAGATGTTCTCTCTCCTTGCAAGCTCCAAAACTCTCAAGGGTTTTTTCCACACTCCACCCCCCACCCCCTTGGTGTTGTGTCTAATGGGAAGTCAGTGTTCCTTGTGGTTGTTATTTTTAAGAGAAAAGAAAAGACTGCTCATAAGCATTAGGTTTATTTCTGCTGTCTGTTCTGAGGTCCATTCTCCTAACGTATGTTGACAGGGAGAGAGGCGGAGTGCGTGGAGGGAGGCAGAATTTATTCTGACTGTAACGGTCGCACTGGGCCTCTCAGAAACATAATGCTAAATTATGGGCCTCTCCATGGGCTGAGGGTAATGTTAAGTTGCATGATGGATTTTATCTTATACAAGCTGCTTTGGTCCATGAAATGAGATAAGAAACCACTGCAGCTGGAGTTCACCGAGGGTTGAACTATGACGGAAAATTCCAGAGTTAACACAATTGTATGAGTCAGCTCTGATCCTAAAGACATGTTCTCTGTCCGTGTGGGTTGAGGTTTTCAAGGAAACTGGACTTTTATTTGCATGGTGTTCATTGGGCACTCCAGACCCCTTCCTTCCTCGGGTTCTGGGATGGGAGCACGGGGAAGTTCGCTCAGAGCAAAGTTTTGATCCTCAAGTCCAGAAGGCAACTGCTGCAGCAGGGGAGGATATGAAATCCTGGCTGATCAGTCTGCCATCCACAATAGCTGCTATGTGCCTAGAGAGAACAGAATGGATTCCCTGCACCCTGAGTCAAGATGAGGCTGTTTCTCATGCAGTGTGTGAGCGCCAGCCCCATCAAGGAAGCTGAACCCCGATCTGGGAGGATGACTTTGGGGGAGAAGATTGAAGATCTGACGTAGAGCATCCTATACAACTTACAAAGCATGAGGCAATGGAATATTAGTAATCATCTAACCGTTGATTTTGTTTAATCTATGAAGCGAAAATAAAATTCTTTCATTCAACATGAATTGTCTTCTGACCATCCGTCTCGAGTGTGTATTATGTGTGTAGATGTGAACAATGTAGGAGAATGTCTTGTGGTCCTTTCTGGGGCCAACAGGACATAGAATGTGGAAGACATTCAGTATTTGTTCAATGAATAAGAATCTGAATCTTCCATTATACTTTTGCTGCTGAATATTAGAATTACAAGTTTACCTAGTTCCCTTTTTTTAAAAAAGTAAGATTCTTTTTTCTAAATCATATGGTTCAGGGGTAGAAAAATACAAATAGAAGGCTTCTCCCATCAAGTTTGCCTGGAAAATATGCACAGAGACTTCAGCAGTAGCTGGATCGATTAATGTTGTAATAACTGACAGATAGCTTCCAGTTCTAATTAACTTAACCACCTTCACACCTGTTTTCTCCACCTTCAAGCCATAAAACACAGGTCTGTGCCACAACTGTTCTCAAACAGGCAAGTCTATTGGTTGGCTTTGAAGTAAACTTTATCACTGACTTACAGGTGGAAGAAACTTCATTCTCTTCTTTCTGTCTCTCCCCACACACCCCAAACCAGGTTCAAATGGGTTTTCTAGCAGCCATGCAAAGCAAACACAGACCACCTCAGAGTGCATAGCCTCTTTTTTGGAAAACAAGGAAATGCTCTCTTTTGCAGCCTCCTAAAACATGTCACTTTAACCCTAAAATGAAATCATTATTGAGCTACAGCAGAAGAAGAAAGAATTTATTCCTACAGCCTGCTTTAGGAAGAGTATCTCACATGACAATCAGCTTGAAAGCAATTTAGTCTGTTGACACATTTTGACACTAAATCAACTAATTCTATAAATCAGAAAACTGACATCACATTCTATTTCTGAACATAGTTGAGGCCAAATAGGCCTTAAGAAGGTAATCAAGGTTTGGTGTGAGACCAGGACTATAGCGTATTACTAAGATGCCCAGAACAACTTTTCTGTAACTGAGCCTTCAGACTTTGCATGTAAGAACAAGAATCCCAGGGTGGTTCCACAAAGTCACAAATTAGAGAAGAGAGAAATTAAACACTGGTGAAACAGTTAGTCTCCGGAGAGTGAATTTGTCCATTTTAACAAGTGCAGCTATCATAGTGGGCTGGACTGTCTTTTGAGAGGATCCAAAAGTATCTATGTTTTTTTCTTGCCTTGGCATGATTTGCGCTTGCTGGTCTTCCATTTGCAGATGATAGCAAGTTTTCTGAGGCAATCACAGTGCTGCTTTCCTGGATAGAACGAGGGGAAGTGAACCGCCGGTCAGCAAACCAGTTCTATTCCATGGTTCAGTCAGCCAACAGCCATGTCCGCAGGCTCATGAACGAAAAAGCGACCCACGAGCAAGAGATGGAGGAAGCGAAGGAGAATTTTAAAAATGCCTTAACGGGGATCCTCACTCAATGTAAGTGAACATTTTGGGGGCCATCTCTTTTGTTGTGATTTTGGTTTTTGCCTTTCTTTTTGCATTCGTTTATGTTTTTATTTGGGGGTAAGTAGTTCAATAACCTCCCACTTTTTTACTCCATATTGAATGGCAAATCTCATAACCTGTCTCATGTTCTGTGGTACTTGGAAGAGCACGGACCCTGCCCTGAGAGCTTACTTCTCAAGGTGAGCAATGTTTCTGTAGCTTTTCCTAAGAACTCCATGCCAGGCCCCCGGGACAGGACAGCCTGTCCATACCTACCACAGTTCATTCCACATCTCAGGATGGGTCACCATTCACCTGCAGGCTGTCCCAACTGCCCTGCAGGTCCTTCAGTAGAAAGCAAAGCCTGTCCTTGGGATTCTGTTTAGGAAGAAGGTACCATTAAAAAGAAAAACCTCAACACTTCTCTTTAGGATCCTTTATTTGATGAGGTGAGCTTTAGCTGTTCCCCTGGGTTGCTCAGAAGCAGAGACTTTTGTCCTTTCTTCATTTGGAAAGCAAATTGCCTTAACTACTTAATGTGGTGATTTTTCATGTCTAGATCCTAAATTGATGAAGGAGCGTAAATGGGGCTTTCTCATAGAACAATAGTCAAGGTAATTACCCAGGGCTCTATTCAAAAAAAAAAAAAGGTGTCTACTTTTTCTATCGGAGTTCTGTCTGTGTCTGTACTTAACATCAGAGTAGCATAATGCATCTCAGCTGCCATGTTCTTTCACTTGGTAAAAACTGTTAAATGACACTGTGACAATGCTACACTCCGTTCTGTACCAGGTGCATGGACCACACACTACAGCGACATTACAGGATTTACATATTCATTCTGGGGATAAGTAGTGTTTACAGGGATATAATATGCCAAAATGCCTATCACTTCTTTCATCATTGTAAATCCCAGGGATGATGTGTCTGTTAGGATGGGATGCTGGATGTGTGAAAAGTCAGAATCTTCAATGTGAAAGTATCTCATGTGACTTTGTTGTCAAAAGGCAGCTTCTAGCAAGATGCCAGTGGCTCTGGCCTGTAATCCTAGCTACTCAAGAGGTTGAGCTCTGAAGATCATGGTTGGAAGCCAGCTCAGGCAAGAAAGTCTGTGAGACATTTATCTCTGGTAAGCTACCCAAAAGTTGGAAATAGAGCTGTGGTTCAAGTGTTAGAGCACCAGCTTTGAGAAAATAAACAGCCAAGCAAGAAAATAAAGCCCTGAGTTCAAGACCTAGTACCAACACATACATACAAAAAAGTTTGCAGCATCAGAAAGTACTGTGTAGCAAATTCACAAACATAAATCAGTATATAACCAGCATAAGTCCAATCTGTCCTTAAAGAAAAGGAATGAGGGGAAAAAATAGAATTATTCTGTCTCGCACAGCTCACCAGCCTTGAGAAATTAATGGGTTAGTGGCCAGAGGAAAGGGAAGGAAAGGGTGCATTAGCAGAAGAGAAGGACAGAAGGCAAAACAACTCCAATGGTATAATTACTGTACTTAGTGCAGATAGCTGTGCTGTACTGTGTAGTATGCATACTGCATCACTGGCCATTTAGCAGGCTTGGCTCATTCACCTCACTCTGGAGTAAGTTTTCCTCCCTATACAATTTATAGTTCCATCTGGCAAAGGAGACTCAACCCTTGGTTATAAAGGGGAAGATAGGGTAACTAGAGTAGTTGAATATTTTCTTTTCTTTTGTAGTAACTATTACAGGAGGTCTCTATGATATAGTTGAAGAATTAGAGGTTCCTGCCTGTCATTATGCAGGTCTAATGTTTGGAACAACTGAGAGATAAGAAAGTGTAGCCTGTGCAGTCCCATATATCAGCTTTTTATTACCAATAAAAGCCCAATTGGAAAATGAGCTTGAGATGTGTAGCAATAGCCGCTTCCTAATGGGAAGCCCCAGCGTGGGGCATCTAGGCTCAGGCAGCACTTAAGACACAGGCTCACCTCCTGGATGCCTGAGCCCAGGAAGAACAGAGAAGAACGAGCAGAACGAGGGAAGTACCCAGGAGGAGTCAGTAAAGGGATGGAGAAGGCCCGGGAAAGCCCATCTAATGGAAAGCTCAACATTAAATTCCTAATCATTGAACTTTGGTTTTCACTCTTCCGGTCTATTCCACTCCTGACTATGAGAAGGCCCAAGTCTTATAACTATGTATTACAACCTCCTTTCCTACCACTAAACCTTATCTGCTAGCCATCAAGAGGTACTGTTTCTACCCTGATAAGCTTACCTCTGTTTGGCCTACTTTTTGTAAAATATATTTTGTTACCTTTTGTTCTCATTTTTAAGTAGTTGTACATAGGCATTGTGATAAGTAACAAAGCAGTTTATGAATATGAATATATCTTGATCTGTGTCCCCCCCTTTCAATAGTCTCATCCATTTCTCCCCTGTCCATTCTTCCCTTCACTCTTCTTAATCATGTAGGATACATACTGGATTCTTGACTGGATTCTTCCCTCTCCTGCTCTTCATTTGTCCACTTTTTCCCTTGCCCCAACCTCCCCCTCCATCCCCCACCCCCCCCTTTTGAGTACCTGATTCTTAGGTTTTATTTCACTGAACTTTGACTTTGCCTTTCTAAGGAATTACACTATTTGAGTTTTCCCTTGAATCTACCATATTTCACAGCTAGTACATTTGGATATACTTGCATATCACCCAACATGTTTACTTGTAAGTTTATAAGCTTCCACACAGACAGGAAAACATATCCTTTGTCTCTCTGAGCCTGATTTGGCCTACTTTTCTCCATGTTGATGGCCACTGTTCAAGTTCAAGTTATCTAGACTTCTATAATTATCTAGTATGTCAGTTAGCTAGAGCATACATTTGCAACAAAAATTTCTGCCAAACTATATTTTAAACAAGCAGAGAGGAGTCTCTTTTTTCATACATACACACACTATTAGCACTATGTTTATTAGCACTAACTTAAGAGATCAAGGCTTTTATGGCTGAGGTTTCTATGCTGCCGCTATCATTTCCTGGATGATTAGGAAATTAACATTTCCTAAGATAATTGCTGCTGCTCCTGCCATCACCTCTCTTTTTCTAGGCTGAAATCACATAAGAAAAAGGAAAAGAAAGAAGGAGTCTTAATATAGTATGAAAGCAAAAAATGTCCAAAGATCCATCCCAGCCTTCAATACATGTCTTATTAGACCCAGTGACTACATCTGGCCACACCTAACTATCAGAGAAGTATAATGCTTCCCTGGCTCATGGATCTCCAAAATAAAATGAGTTTTCATAGTAATTTTAGAAGAAGAAAGTAATGACTCAGAAGCATTTGTAGTTCTACCATACACCATCCCTTCCTGTCCGCTTTTACCTGCTTCACATTTTTAGCCTATCAGGCCTGTCTGTGTCAACTTCTTCATCATCAGCTTGACTGCATCACTCACTCTCACAGTCACTCCCTGTGGGTCATTCCCACTGGCCGCCATCCTTACAAGCCCATACAAGCTACCTCCTACCTCCAAGCCTATTCATTTCTTTCTCCCTGCTGTGTGCTTTACCCTCTCCTTTGCATGCATGAGTCTTTCTCATACTTTAAGACATTCCTCAAAAGGTCTTAAATGAAAGGCCACTCTCTACACAGTGGGCTAACTTTTTTGTTGTTGTTGTTGGTCGTGGAACTTGAACTCTGGGATTTGTCACTGTCCCTGTGCTCTTCAGCCCAAGGCGAGCACTCTACCACTTGAGCCACACAGCACCACTTCTGGTTTTCTAGTGATTTACTGGCAATAAGAGTTTCACAGACTTTCCTGTCCAGGTTGGCTTTGAACCCAGATCCTCAGATCTCAATCTCCTGAGTAGCTAGGATTATAGGTGTATGTCACTGGCACCCAACCAGAGTGGGTTTTCTAGTCCACTTTTGGCTAGTGGATGTCCTATCCCTTTATTAAGGTCCTCTGAGGCACTTATCCAGTTGTGGGATGATATCATGCTTTGTCTGATTTAAATTACTGTATCCACAAGGAACATTTAATTCACTTGTGTGTACCAAGTTCCTGAAACACAGAGACATGAAACACATATTTGGTAGATGAAGGGGCAAGTACATGGGCAATGCATACATTGGAGGCAGGAAGGAAAGCTGCTTGAAATGTTTTCAGAATTTTCTGGTGTGTCCACCAAATACTTTGAAATGGGTGTTGGTGCCATCCATGGTATCATGGCTATTACCTGTGTATGTGATGGATCTACTCCAAGAGGGAACTATGTTTGTATTCTAAACCACTATACTTTACTAGACCATGAGTCAGAAACTACTGGATATTAGGAGAATTGGGGTAAAAACAGAACAGAGAAATACATGTTAGTGTCTCTCAAATGGTAACCTTCCAACAACCCTTTGCTCATTACAATAATTTGATTCTGGGCAGTCTTTCAGCAGTTGGCATATATCAGCAAAGTCTCTGGAGACCTCAGCTGATGTTAATGCCTACACTGCTGGTTGAGGAGTACATGTCTCAGCGGAAGCATCCTAAGGGGATTTGCATGCATCCTTCATAACCAGGCTTGTGTTGGATGACTGAAGACAAGAATAACCTTAAATGTAGCCTGAGTTGAAATTACCAGAATTAATCCTATTGGAGGATTGCACAGGTCACTGAGCAATCTGTTTTCTGTTCTTTCCTGTATGCTTTTTTACATCAACTCTTCCCAGATCTTCATATCCACCATGAGAAAGTATTATCAGTTGGCTTGACTAACCTGCTCAACACAGACACATTTTTATCATTCTGGAAATGTTAGATGCATCTTACCTTTGAGCTTTTCCTTCTGTGGTGGAGTTATGTGCATCTGCCTCAACCCCTTTCTGCCTTCCCAAGCTTAACTCATTGTGTTAGGATGACTCAATACAGGGAGAGGGGGAGGCTGCTTTAATAATAGCCACGAAAGTTCAGAGTGATGGATATACTTCTAATATTTCCCAAAAGTATAAGCAGTCATTCCCTTTTAT